CTGAAGAAAAGACTTAAGCGGCGCAATCTAAGAAAAGACTTACGCGGCGCGACTTAAGAAAATTCTTAAGCGGCCCGACTTCAGACAAGACTGGCGGCTCGACTTAAGAAAAGACTTAAGTGGTGCGATTTAAGATAAGACCGACGGCGCGACTCAAGAAAAGACTTAAGCGGCGCGACTTGAGAAAAGACTTAAGTGACGCGACTTAAGAAGAGACTGAAGCGGCGCGACTTTAGAAAAGACCGACGCCGCGACTTAAGAAAAAACTTAAGCGGCGCGACTTAAGATGAGACCGACGGCGCGACTTAAGAAAATACGTTTGGTATTGCGCTCTGTCGCCCATGTCGCGGCGGTTTATTCTCAGTCGCGCCGGTCTGAAATTTAAAATTATCAGTCGCGCCGGTCGCGCCATTACCTTAGGTCGAGCCGGTTCCGACGGTGTTTTGAGTCGCGCCGGTCGCGGTGGTTTTTGAATCGCGTCGGTCTTCAATTGCCAAGTTTAGCTTAAATAAAATGGTTAGTTTTTTTGAAAAATTTCTGTTAATTCTGGGTCTTCAATAAGGGTTGGGTAGTGAATCGACGTTTGAGGTCATTAGACACTGAATAATATGGGAGGGGGAGAACAAATTATTATATTTGATCCAAGGATAAGCCTTGATGATCAGAAATTTAGATTTAGTTTAATTTAATTTAAAGATCCAAGGGAAGCTTTGATAATCTGCTATTTTAAATGAAATTAATTTAGGTGAAAACAAGGATAAGCCTTGATAGTTTTTCGATAAACGGTTAAGATAAAAAGGTTAAGTTTTTAATTTTGATGTTTGTTATTTTTTTAGATTTGCTGTTATAATTTAGGTGATGAAGCTGGGATGAAGGAATGATTTATATATACTAACAAATTATGCTTTATACTAACTAATTTTTGTACTTTTATTTTCATTAAATTTTTTTTTCAAGATGTTTTTAATTTTTTGCACATTTTTCAAAGAGAACAACTAGTGTTGTTTTTATAGGTCGTTATTGTATAGTTATTAGGTTTAGTGCCATGAAAGGTTATTGAAGATGTTTCTTCAAAATTTTATGTCAGTAAATGAAAATTTAAATTTACTGCTCTGGTGCTGAAACTACAAGTAGTTTCAGCACTTACAAAAAAATAGGTTGTTAATTTGATGGAGTATGATTGGTTAGTATTCAATATTTTATAGAGATAAAGTATCAGAATAATACCCAATAAGAAATTCTAGTTTAGATCTGGTTCCAATATCTTCTAACTAAACTTTTAAGCCTTAACTTTTATACAATAGCCTTCGGCGCTAGTGTATAGATAATCTGCGCTCTCTAACGAGCGTTCTCAGAAATTTTTCTGCGGCGCATCAGTTTTAGGCTCGAGAAAATTTTATCATTGAAAACCAACACATCCCCCTCTTTTTTGTAGTATGATAATGAAGCCCAATTGTTAGTGATTTGAATGCTTAAAAAAATTGTCCTATCGCAGAGAAAAAGCGTTTTAATAGCTCCTGCGTTTCATTTCTATCACGCATAGTCTTTTGACTTTTAGTAGATGATTTTTAGCATACGATTTTGCACACGTTTGGTTCTTACTGGTATATCGTTTTTTTTGGAAAGACGTACAGTATTCAATATTTGTTGGTTCCACTTTCGAAGAGAAAGACCAAACTTTTCGCCGCAAGTTTTTTTTGTTCCGACTCTTTCATTCCAATTTTCCAATTAATTGTACTGTATAAGAATTACATCAATCTGATTCGACCATTGAACGGGGAAAAAGAACAGCAGAAATATAAAACTTGAAGTTTTCTTAGTGTTTTTTGAATTTTTTCTTCAATTTTTATAGTTTTATAAATTTTTCTGAGCAGTCTGAACATACCAGTCTTTGCTATGATATGAACAGCCTTGTTAGCCCTTTTGTTTGAACAATTTACAAATCAGAAGGCCTTGCTAAAAACCCAATACTGAACAAGTGAAGGCTTTGCATTTACATGTGGAAGTTATGCAGTGCTGATTTAATTTATCCCGACAAAACAAACAAAATTTGAAATTTCAAACAGATTTTATTTAAATTGGGTTATTAATAGACAAAAGTAAACAAAAACTACTGCTTAAAATTTTATCAAAATTATGTGCACTTTTTTCCCGAAAATTAAAATAACCCCAAAAATGGGTAGTTTATCTTCTTATTAACTAATCAAAAGCTACGCTGAAACAATCCAGTTAATTGATGAGAAAATTATATCAAAAGAACTCTCCTACACATCCCAATAAAATTATACAAGATAAAAATTCCAAATATTTGTGTAAAACGTTTGAAGCTGACACAAGATTTTGATTTTTATATAGTAAAAAAAAAGTTTTTTTGTGTGGCTATCAATCAAGAACAAATTCTCATACACAGATTTTATGACTCTCTAAATTTTGTTGGGCTGTGTAAGATGCTTCTTTTGACATAAATTTGTAAGCAATTAACTGGCCAGTTTCAGCGTAAATCTTGACTATTTTTTTTAAAAATCACCCATTTTGGGGTTAGATTTTGTTTAAGAATTTAGCGAAAAAAATCCACCAAAATATTTCTAATAAAAGTTTAAGATACTTTTATTCGCTTTACTTTATGTCTAATCTTAGCCCAATTTGAAAAAAAAACGGATTAGCCCAATTTCAAATCTTTGTTGTATCCGATTATTTTAAATGAAAAGACTTAAGCGGTGCGATTTAAGAAAAAACTTGAGCGGCGCGACTTAAGAAAAAACATAAGCGGTGCGACTTAAGAAAAGACTTAAGCGGCGCAATCTAAGAAAAGACTTACGCGGCGCGACTTAAGAAAATTCTTAAGCGGCCCGACTTCAGACAAGACTGGCGGCTCGACTTAAGAAAAGACTTAAGTGGTGCGATTTAAGATAAGACCGACGGCGCGACTCAAGAAAAGACTTAAGCGGCGCGACTTGAGAAAAGACTTAAGTGACGCGACTTAAGAAGAGACTGAAGCGGCGCGACTTTAGAAAAGACCGACGCCGCGACTTAAGAAAAAACTTAAGCGGCGCGACTTAAGATGAGACCGACGGCGCGACTTAAGAAAATACGTTTGGTATTGCGCTCTGTCGCCCATGTCGCGGCAGTTTATTCTCAGTCGCGCCGGTCGCGCCATTACCTTAGGTCGCGCCGGTTCCGACGGTGTTTTGAGTCGCGCCGGTCGCGGTGGTTTTTTGAATCGCGCCGGTCTTCAATTGCCAAGTTTCGGTCGCGCCGGTCTGGAATTGTCAAATTTGAGTCGCACCGGTTTTTTCTTCAGTCGCGGACCTCGACCCGGGAAATCATCACTGTAGATACGTAAAACAAGATATAAACTACCACCCTCACGCAATATCAGCTGCAACGTGATATGCTTAGGAAATCTACAACACTCACGCAATATCAGCTTAATCAGCTACAACGTGATATGCTTTGCTTCTTCTAACGCTATATTTGAATCATTTAGCAAGCCAAAACTCAATTTGGGATTAATTTGCAGCAAACTTCTTTATTCGCCGCTGACACAGCCTTAACAGTAATGTTGAAATTTTGCGTAAATCGATTGTCCTAATTTAGCATTTCGCCAAACAATATTGCAGATTAATAGTATAATATGTACATAACGTTGAGCTCAGAACAACATTAAACTGTACAAAAAAGATCCACAAAAATTTAATATTTCAAACGTCGAAATTTATCTGGATAAAAAAAACTGCAAAAAACCTAGCAAAACTTCTTAGAAAAAATCACTATCGCTCTAAGTTGCCCAGTTCGCATAAAATGTTTACAGCAAAAACGCAAGTTTTACCTCTCAAAAAGATGGATCGAGAAACAAGGGCGAACGCCCCCCCACCCTCAGAGATTCAGCCCCCTCACAACCAAAGGGTTCTCACTTTGGTATTTTAATGAGATCCATTTTTGGCCGACCAACCCTAAAGTTTTCTAAATAGCCAATATATATACTAATTTTGAAGGGGAGCGCGCGCCGAAGAAACGCAATTTTTAGACAACACGTTTTCCAAAAATTTACCAAAAACGACTCGTTTGACCTGTTGTTTCAAAATATTGCCTGCAAGGCGAAACCTGTTGTCAAAATAGGGCTATTTTTTTAAATTTTTTTTGGGGTTTGGTCGTGCTAAACAAAGTCCAAAAAAATTAGAAAATTTTTTGAAAATCCGCCCCCCTCGAAAAAAATCTTAGATCCGCTCCTGGTCTGAGTATTCAGACATTTTACATAGATTTGAGTCTCTGAAAAGCAAAAGTTTTTTCCAGCTTCAGAAATGTGTTACTAAAGTTACAACGGTGTAAAATTGTTGAGGCTGGAAAAGATTATTCTAACTTAGAAACCAGTTAACGTCCTCACCTGTGGGGGATGTTGTTAACTAACTTCTAACCCGAACAGGACTGCTCGTATCAGGGCGAAGCCCTGAATGTTCCGACTGCCTTTTATGTTTATGGAGCAGTAATAACATAAACATCATTAACATATTAAATGTAATAAAATAAAATGAAAATTTTTTTCTTCTAAAACTTGAAATTTTTTCCACGAAAATCATCCACCCACAAATATTTAAAGTACAAAAAAATAGATTTCGCTCCTTGTAACAAATCAATTATGACACATAAGCTTCTTTCAACCAATTTGGAACGATTTCTAAGACCAATTATATCTACGCTTACGCGTTAATAACGCGAAATATATCGCGCTTTAGTTGTCCCAAATTGCCAAAATGGCAATCTTTAAACCCTCATAACTTTACGAAAAATGATCACAGGTGAATTATCTTTTCAAATTTAAGCTCAGGACAATATTTTTGAATGATATAAAAAAGTTCCTTCAAAAATGGTTAGATAAAAAGTCGAAATTTGTCTGAAGAAAAAAACCCACTCCGAGCACAAATGTTCCGTTACTTTCGTATCGAAAGTAACGGAACAACAATAAGTTAAGGGATAAACTGAAACACTGTGAAAGTTATAACCTGTACGTGGTCATTGCTTGTGAAACACAATAGTCCAGAGGAGTCGACGGAGGATATAACAATCAACAAAATTAGAAGAAGGGAAACAAAATTAAACAAAAACGGCGTAAGTTTGAAAATCATCATGCCGAACTATCTCATTATTCAAGCTCTAACATATTTATTGCACCTATTACTTCAGTATCCGTATCACATCTACTAAGTTCATTTCATGTGGATTTTCAGCAAGAACTTTTATTGCTCCAAGTTCATCGCTCTAAGTCAAAAAGGGTTGAAATGAATGGTTTGTAGGTTGTAGATTTGTTGGTTGGATAAAATCGGTTTATTTCCAAAACAACTTTTTATATACAAAAAGTTTTTTTGGCGAGGAATTTAAATAAATTTTATTACAGATAAGTATTAAGTCGGCGTTTTTTACATTGTCAAAACTGCGACATTGATTGTCAGTTCTGGTTTAGAAAAGTGGGAGATTTTATTGCCTGATTTAAACAAAACTCATCTGCTTTGATTGAAGTAGGAAGAACACCCAGGTGTTTTAGTTGGGTTATGCATCTATTCGTTTTTGATGTCATGAAATATGAATATGAGAGGACACTTCCGTTCAATTTTCAAAGGTTGCCTCAATTCGACGTTGCACTGGTAGTCCATACCACGTATTCCTAAGAAGCGCTGCAAGAAAATATCTTTAAAAAGTAATGAACTTTGAAAAAGCAAAAAAAAGCCGGATGTAGAACATTTGCGAGGAGAGACAGTAGACAGCCGGCTTGCCGCCACAGTAACTCAGATGTCCGTCTAAATTCATTAAGGCAGGGAATAACCATTTGGTTTTTTTGAATTTTGCCAAATATTATCAAAACTTTTTTCTGCTAATTTTTTTGACGCCGGAAGAGTATTTAAAGAAAAAATTAGGCAAGCAAAAGTGCTGTCTTCGGGCAATTTTTGTAAAGTTTTGACAAAACATGGCGACTTCTGGGCGCCCTTATCAAATAAAATCAGAATATATTGGTGCCAAAAGGCTCCTTAGAGTCGGTTAGCCAAAAATGAATGCGAGCAAATGAATTTGGATGGTCGAAACCCTGAAGGGAAGGGGGTGTCCGCCCCTGCCCCTCAAAACAAATTGCAATAGAACTAAATAGTGACATCGGTCTCTCTTGTAAAATCATGTGTCATCAATTTTAGTCTAGTCTCAAAAATGGAAAACTTCAGACAGATCTATTGGGTTGTTTTTGATATATTCGAATCCGAACCATGAACGAAAGGGTGTGAACTTGATATCAATTTTGACAGGGGCAGATCCAGAATTTTTTCGAGGGTGAGTGAGTTTTCGAGAAAAAAAAATCTAAACCTTTTTAAGGCAATTTTTCGAGCAATCCCAGAACACTATCAGGGCCCTTTTTTAGAAATAAATTCTGTGCCTTGTTTTTTTTTGGCGCGCGCTCCCCTCTATAATTAGCATATATTGGCGCCAAAATCGCCTTTAGAAAACTCTTAGGGTTGTTCGACCGAAAACGGATATTTCCAAAGGGTGTTAGTACCATTTTTGGTTGATGAGGTGGCCAAATCCCTGCCAATCGGTGACCGCCTCATTGCCCCACTCTTAAATCCGCCCCTGAACCCCAAAATTTCTTTGAGTTAGTCAAAATAGACTAGAAAACCCACTATTTGTCATAGATCTGCCCCACAGATTCAGAGAAGCAGTTTGAAAGAGTTTCCAAAAAACTTTAAAAGAAAAAGATTAAACAAAATCCAGTTTTTGCCAGTAAAATTGACCAAATTTAAGCTAAAACTGATAAATGTTCTATCAGATCAATCATAAATTTTTAAAAGGCGAAATCGTTAGAAACTTGATATAAGTAAGCAAAATAAGAATATAAAAATTTTCTCAATAATAAACGCTTAGGGTGTGCAACTTTTTCTCACAATCTAAATCCTTAATAATAAGATTACAGTTATCTCCATCCTAACCAATCATGATCCATAACTAATCTGTAAATGCATGTTATAAGTTCTACATGTTGTAAAAATCAGGCTAGTTGTTTTATAAAATCAGCACAAAACTTGCTTGTATTAAAGCGAAGCCGACTGCAATTTCAGGTCCTTGGAGCAGTAATAACAAAAAAAATTAAATATATTAGAAAAAAATGAACTTGTAGTATTCAACTACACTTAAAATATCGCTATTGTTCTAATTGTTTACAAAACAAGAGCCTACTTTATGATGCACATTAACAAAAGATTGAATGTTTTAATGCCTAGTTTTATTTGCCCTGAAAAGTAGACAATACGGCGATATCTCCATCCTATTTTTATCAGTTCTCAAAGAACTTTTGATTTATAATTTTAAAACTGCAGTTGGAAAATGTATGAGTCCCCGAGATGAAAAAATGATTGATTGCTGCTTGCAAAAATCAACTTGGGAGACTGATGAAGAAGCCCTTGATAAGAACGGAAAAATCCTGTGTGAAGAGTTAAGGATAAAAAAGCCGGAATATAGCAAGGTCTGAGTCATGAGAAATTTTTATCAGCAGACCGGTCAAATTAATTTTGTTTGCCTCAGGGTAACCTTAGAGACAAATTGAGCTCTCAGTTTTTTCCTAATAAAGTCTTTCCTTTATAACAATTTTTCTTTCAAATATTTTCTTTAAAAAAATTATCTCTGAGACTTTCACTGAAAAATCGAATATATGTTCGAGACCTTTATCGATTAAGTTATAAAGTTTAAGCAAAACAGTTACAAGTATATCCGGCAACCGGCAAGCAGAACCAGACGCGTCCAGAGGACATTTATTCTCAAAGAAATTTTTTAAATCTAGGATCTTTTATCTGAAAAATTATCTCAAAGAAAAAATGAGTTAGGAACGGTTATTTTGAATTGAAGTAAGGATTTTTAACATTTTGATTCAAACGAAAGACAGCGACATCTCTGAAATTCCACAAAACCTCAAAACCGCAAAATTGAGAGAACAGTTTTTGCTGTTGAAAAAAAACGGCATTTATAGAAAAGGTCAATAAGGAACGAAAACACTGAACAATCGATGTTTGAAGAAAAGAAACCTGCCGAATTGCAACGATTGGACGGTTACAATTGTTACTGAACGTATCCAACGAATCATAAAATTGACGGGAGGATTAACGACCCTACCTGGTAGTGAAGAAGGAGCTTCTTCGGCAAATTGGAAGAAGACGGAAGGGTCTCTTGTTGAACTGGAGAAGTTAGATTTTAACAATTTTTAGCTTACTGGAATGTTCTGAATTGAAATTAATAACATCTAAAACCGTTTTCAGATAATGAGAAGCTAGGAGTTGGCGGAGGGATCAATCCCTCTCCGATGGCGGGGTGATTTTTTCTACGGTACAAAATCAAGTGTGATGGTAAGAGAATGGTAAGAAAAACGGTATTTTTTTGGATTATAGTAATATAGTAACTTAATAGTATCAATGTATCCTATCTAGGAGTGACCTCCATATATGATGAAACTGAGACCCAGCCATGAGCTCACTCTTTTCACATTCATTTAAGTTAATTTGCGCGGCTCGGCTGATAGCCTTTAGCGGTAATGATTTTGTCAACCCGACATTTCGAGACTCACATTGAATTGGCTTTGGTGGAGACGGTTTAAAGCAAGTTAAGTTCTAGTGGAACGTTAGCGGATCATTTTAAGATTTAGCTTTACTTTTCGTCGGTATGTACTTCCGAGCGAAGTTTACGACAGAAACGATTTTTGATCATAACAGATAAAATCATGTCGAATCTTTAAATAACCTTGATGAGAACGCATTTGAAATAAATGAATCAACCGTTGACCCTTCTCCTGAAAAAGACAACATAGCGGTTGAAAATGTTCAGCGAAGGGCAATCAGATTAATCCCAAGTTTAAGCAAATTAACTTACTGGGAAAAATTGAAAAAAAATTGAAGCTTCCTACTCTAGTGTACAGAAGAGTACATGGGCGCATGATAGAAAAGTACAAAATTTGGGACTGTGTTTACGATTTAACAGCAACTAAAGGAATGTTTAAAATAGATGTAAGAAGTTCTCGTGGCAACCGGTGCAAATTTATAACCACAAATTTCTATACGATGTAACTTCTTCACTATAGCAGCCATAAACGACTGGAACTTTTTACCAGATCGGCGATTTCCAGCGTTCAAATCAATTTGTTGGAATCGAGGCTGGATAAACCTTGGGAAAACGATTTGTATGGTAGATCCTTTCTGAAATGACAAATTGAACGACGTCAGAAAGAGCTTATCAAAAAAGATTGAGAAGCCTATAGATCAAAAGATAGCTGTATAAAAAGGTGGTGTTGTTTTTTAACCAATCGAGGCTTTTTGAGTGGGTTTTGTTAATAGAAGACTTCTTGAAGATGTTGGAACTAATGGAACCATAATTTCATGATTGTATTCATATTAGTCTAACTGAAGTATTGTAGTGTAGCTGGCTATAAAATAGAAGACTCCTGTGTTATTGGAACCAATTTACCTGTGTCATAAAAAATTATTAGAAGATGGTCAACGGAGAGCAACTCGAATGGTTTGAGGGAACTAAAGTATACAGAAAGACGGCAGACGTTAGACCTAATCTACCTTATACCCTAGAAGAAGAGGCACAAGGATTGAAATGTTCATAATTGGTTATAACCAATATGATTCAAAACCGACAAAAGGTTTATAAACAACAGAGACAAGGATAATTCACAAGAAAGTTGTGTTAAAAAAAACAGATTTCGAAATAAGAAAACATTTTTTCACAATAAGAGCTGCAACAGACTGGAATAGCCTGCCAAGAGAAGTAGTGACTTCAAAAACGACCAGCGAAATAAAAAAAAAACCTGAAGGAAAATGGATTTATTATATATGAGACGAATTTAGTGAAAAAAAAATACACAATGAGCTGATCAAGTGAGGCGGCAGCATCGCATAACAATAAGAATCAAACTAAAACAAGCTGTGTAATATGGTATGGATAATTTTCAACCAATCAGGCTTTTCAAGGGGATTTTGTTGAAAGAAGACTTGTTAAAGGATCTTTAACAAAAAGAGCCCTAACGTCATGATAGTGTTTCTTGACAAATAGGAACCTCATTTCATGATAGTGTTTCTTGAGATGAAAAAGAATAGGGTTAAAGTATCACAGGGACACAGGTAGAAGTAGACAGGTATATTTTTGATCTACAGGCACCTCAGTCTCCGTCGATCAGCTCCTTCTGTGGCTGTCCAATTCGTCATTTGAGAAAGGATGTATCAAACATATCGTTTTCCCAGTGTTTACCTAGCCTTGATATGAACAATTTGATCTGTAAGCTGGAAATTACAGGCTCTGGCAGTGAGTTCCAGTCGTTTACGGCTGCTATAATGAAGAAGCTACTTCGTAAACATGTGCGAGACTTTCTTGTTATCAATTGGCACGGATTTCTGCGAAAATTTCTTTCATTTATTGTAAACATTCCTTCAGTT